CGGAGCTCCAAAAGTGCCCGACGATCATACTGAAAATATGACTCGGCACACTACACAAACCATTGTAAAAATAACAAAAATAAAATACGAGCAGAGAGCGAGAGACGGGCAGCCCTACACACCGGCGCCATCTTGAATATACTCAAAATGATATGATCAAAACGGGAGTTTTGTTTAAGTTTGTAGATGAACAGATGCTGGGATATATTCATCATTTAACGCGAGTTCCTCATTTTTCTGGACTGAATAAAACGTGCATTGAATTTAAGGAAATGCAAACGGGAGACGTCATTTAAATTTGACCCATCAAAATGAATGCGGTCATTTATTTACAGAATCAAATTTAACATCAAACATTTACATTAATTTGGCAAATTATGAAAATAACAACAAAGCAATCAATCAGGAAAAATCATACGGCCATGATTTTTCGTTGCTGCACCAACAGACATTTATGAAAACTGTACAACTATGATCTTTTACCCACGTGAATGTGGGTGAGCATTTTACACAGACATTTCTAAATATCTGGAAGAATTTCTACTTGATAGAAAAGTTTAAGATGAAAGATGAAGTTTAAAGGGGAGAAAGATGGTGTTTGAGGTAGAGTGTTGAACAGAACGGCACTCTCCGGGCTTTCTTCAGCTTCTTCCTCACAGTACACTTAGGTGATGAAAACGCCTCTTTTACCTGGAGATGTCTCAGGCGAGATTCCGTTTAACGCACCCTTTCAGCGTCTCCGTAGGATGCTGTTACTCGTCCGGAGTAGCAGCGAGATTCTGTCCGCCACAGCTCACCTCAGTGGAAATGTTATAATCCCATGAAACTCGGAAGAGCTTTTTGTCATGTCAGAATCATCCCGTCTCTAACAGAACTACTCCAGCAACTTCAGAACTCCAGCAGTCTGAAAACTCATGAAGTCTCCGTAAACTCTCTCTCCGTAACTCTGGGAACTCTGTGTAGACCAGGAAGTACTGACATTTTAAAGACTCTTTCCCGGTTCACTTTTGGGATTTTTCATTGGTCAGAAACGACCAGAAGGGGTGTGTTTTTGTGACGTGAGAGGTTAGACGCAGCGAGAATTGTTATGAGACAGCTCAGAAATGTTCTCACAGACCGAGAGGGTTCTGTTTTGGCGTGAAAAAGAACCAGGTGCAAAACATCTCTATTTACGTCTGAGAGGATTCTAAAACATGACAGTTTTAACATAACAACTTGTTTTTCGTTTGAGTCCAACCTTGGAACGCACACACTTGCTCATTCAAAAGCAGAAATCAGAAACTGCATAATTACTCTGCAACAGCTTTTAACATGAGTTCTAACTTTTGCATGAGAATAAAAACCATTACTCAGTTAATAAAATTGATTAGTTCACTGCAACATCTAAAATGGTTTGAACTAAGACACTTTGATTATCAACATTTGTAAGATAGTAATGATAATAAAAAGAGAGTGTTCTTTTCACTTGAATCTTCAAGAAAGAAAGTCTCAGGATGGGTGAACCTGTATTTATGTATTCAAATACATGAAATGACAGTTCTTGTCCCACAAGGTTCTAAAGGTCAAGAGTTTTGACCTTAGACTGGGTTTCGACGTAGGCCTAGTCCACTACAAGTTCTAGGATATAAAAAAAATAAAACTAGGGAGAATATAGAAAATAGAAAATAAGATTGACCTCCTTTGTACAAAGTTTTTGTGTAGACACAAATCTGTTTTCATTGTGAAGGTTTCCCAAAGAACAAGATGTGAGGAAGAGGAGGAAGTATCTTTGAGGAGGATTCATCTGAGCAGTGAGGATTTTAAACTGGAGGATTTTGATCAAACTGGTCAGACTGTCCGACTGAGAGATGGTGTGGTACCATCGGTTCACCTTCAGAGAGTAGGAGCATCATTATAAGTTCATTAGAGTTCATAAAGTTACATATTTTATTGTGAGTCACAAGGTGAGACACCTCCATGTGTTTCTATGAACAGGTAACTAGAGACTGTAAAGTTCATCTTCATGATGCTTTTTCATTTCAGCTTGAAAACTGCAGGACTACAGGAAGTGAACAAAAGCTGCAGCTGCTCTGTCTGTGGCCTCTCAGGAACGTGCACGCCACACACACAACCTCAGGAACGTGCACGTCACACACACAACCTCGGCCTCATGATGTGATTATTTCTATTTTAAACTTTTATTTTTCATTTACTCTTTATTTATCAGGTCGACTCATTGAATCACGAGAACTCATTTTCTAGAGAGACCTGTTTAGGAGCAGGTGGTGGGGGTTGAGTGCCTTGCTCAGGGGACCAGAGTGGGGCCAATGAGGGTGGAGGCAGGTGTGGGTGTTTCACCTTTTCCACCTCATTTTGATGTTGACGGTACCGGGAGTTGAACCTGTGACTTTCCAATCACAGGCCCATCTTGTAACCTCTGCTCCACCACTCCCCCACATGACATCATATCATACTGGTCGTATTAAAATCTCACTGGTTTCCTTCCAGATGTGTTAAACAGCTGCTGGTCCCCTGATGTTTGCAGGTGTGTGTGGTCAGTGGATGAAAAGCCTGGCATGAACAAGATGATGCTGGAGATGATGATTTGACGAGAGCTCCCACCTTCTACCTGTGAAGAACAAGAGCAGCTCAGTGAAGGTGCTGAGAGCTGCAGAGAGGCTGATCCATGGAGCTTCAACACAGCAACCTCCAAACATGTCCACCCTCACACACATCGTCCGTGAACACACTGGACCACAGCACAACATGATAACACACTGACAACAACAACAACAACACATTCACTAATGATTCAGACAAATTTTTATTGTTTGTTTGTTTTACAATTAAAAACAGTTTGTTGTCCACTGTTGTCATCACTCTTTGTTCAAATCCAGGTCTCTTTTGTAAATGAGTCCTATTGGCTCAATGGGACTAACCTGTATCAATAAAGGTTGAATGAATATAAATATACACATAATGATTTATTCAACCTTTTATTTATACAGGTTGGCTTCATGGAGCCACAAGGACTCGTTTACAAGAGACCTGCTCCAGACACAACAGGAAACAATGGCAACGATGAACTACAGTAAAAATGATAGAGATATGTGTGTATATATATATATATATATATATATATATAT